GCTGAGGGACTGCATTCCCCCACGCAACAAAGGCAAGGGCATAGTGTCTTCGGGCACTTCCTGTGTTAATTCAACTGCAATTTAGACTAGATATTTGAAACTATCTTCATGTGGAGGCAGCCCTTTCTGGAATGATTGCTTAGTGACGTAGTGAAGCGAAGCGTCTCTAGGCAATGGTCTCATGTGAAGCTTTAGTTTGTTCTTAAGAGCAAAGACTTGTTTTCTACGTGCGCTCCGAGAAGAAAGCTTCACTCTCTGCTTAAAGAGCAAGCTCGTTGTGGGCTGGGTACGGGTTTTTGTTTGTTTACAGAGCTTTCCTATAAAATGGGGAGGGGGGGAGAGACTATAACGAAGAAATACCCAGGGAGGGGAGTGAGGGTTGTCTCCCCCTGCCCTCAAGGGAAGCCTGTGAAGGGAGAATGCTGATTCAAGCTGGCCGGACTTCAGTAGGCACGGTCTTCTCCTGCTCCCTTCAGAAGGGCTGCTCACCCAAGCAAGAGGGGGCTGCTTTTCTTTCACCCTCAGAAGGCGGGCATGCTCGGAGGTGATTACTTATTTTGATTCTTAAAAAAAACCAGAAGGAAGTACACTGAGCTACCACTAAGGGACTGGGTTTCTCTAAGTCCCTCCTGACCGCAGGACAACTTTTCCGAAGCTACCTGTGGAGAAAACATGACAAGTCACTTCAAGAAACAGGAAAATCACGTTTGGGACACAATTTACAAATTACTCTATTTAAAACTTTAATTTGTGATATTAATGACTGCAAAACACTTAGAATGACATTTGTTAAAGGCACATTTCATTTTAATGCATAGTGTACCATTCTAAAATATCCTAATTTCCTTACAAAGTGCTTGAGCAGCCACATACAGATAAAGTATAGCAAAATATATTTACAATCTAGGGTTTAAAATCTTAATCTGCCTAAAAATATTTAAAAAACTACAGAGATAAAATTAGTGCTTTCTTTCAGCTTAACTGGGTGAACATACCCTGCCCTCTAATTTTTTTTAATTTTTTTTTTTAGTGATTTACTTAGATTAAAAAAAGATTTCTGTACAAGATGTAGTTACAAAAAGGCATTTTTGAGGATACTTTCCTAAGTGTTAAGCACCCTGTTAGATGCTCATATATATATTTGGGAACCAAAAAGGGTGAGTGAACTGACTGTACCTCAAAAGTATTGGTTTCAGCTAGATACAGGAACATAATTTGTTTCTTATTAATTAGAATCTGGAAACAGGTAATGCTGAAAAGTTGACTCACTCTGCCAAACGTGATTTGTAGAGCTGGTAAAGATGCCTTCCTGCCTGCCTTCCTGCAGGGGGGGGATGCCCGATTACCCCGATTTAGACCTAGTAACCGTTTTCCCCCCCCGCCCCTCCCTAAGCCTCTCCCCTGCCTGACCCTGCAGCATCATGACTTCAAACAACCGCCTTGGCGTTGCGCGCTCAGGTGGTTTGCATTTCTTCTTTGAAGGAATAAAATCACAAGTTCTGAACTCACTTGCGTGCCGATTCTCACTGTCTTAGCCCATGAACAGCGAACTCCTGGCTAGGATGAACCCGTGAGAGTGCACGTGCAATCAGCTCTGGCTGGCGCCAGAGCTCAGGACCACGTGGGAAGTTTATTTTCCAAGAACAAATGTTTGCCCACAGAACCCCCGGTGCTAAAAATGGGTCTTGGTTTACAAGTATGCACAGTGTCTGGTCTAAATTATTTTTCAACTTTTGAGGTACAGCTTTTAGTGTTAAGGGGTTTATAAAATATACACTGTTTTTATCAAAAATATTTATACATTCCGTTACAACATATTGCTTTTACCCTCAGTAACTGCCAATCTGTGTTCTGGAGTTCAGTGGCCTATATGCATACAAATATTTTTTCCCCCTCAGAGTTCTACGTTGTTCACTTGGCCACTGTGCAAAATTAATGAAGTGGTATAATTAAATTACTTGCCTGGACATAAGAATACATTACAACTTCCAAATATACATGTTCACAGCATGTATACATTGAAAATCCTTATGTTTTCTAAAAGTGATATGATACTGTACAGCAGATAGAGGATGATCTAGGTGTGGTTAGCTACAGACCGGTTAACTTCTCTGTCCGCTCGGTGAGCGGGAAAGGCATGAGTTTGAGTACAGAAGTGGGTGGGCTTGGGAAATGCATATGCTTCGCTCTTTGCGGTCAGACCGAGCAACGTCCTTGTTACCTTCTTCGCATCGACCAGGGTTTTAAGCCATGCTTAAAAAGCTCGAAGGCAAAACTGTTTGGCAAGTGGCTTTGGTAAACTTTCTGGATTTTTCTCTGTAATGGAAGCACTTACACCGTTGTTATCTCAAAGGCAAGGCGTTTAACATTTTTCCTAATAAATACCATAGAAAATTTACAAAACAAGGCGTATCTGTTCAATCTCAATCCCATTATTTTAAGAACACAAGATGAAGGTGTACATAGAAATGTGTAGTTTTATAGACTGCACAAGATAATATTTAACTGAAACCGTTTGCCTTCTCCAGCTAGAATCGCGTTCTGTGAGAGTGTCATCACTATCCCAAACTTCTGTGTCAATGTGGCTGAGTAGAGATAAGCGGTCGCCTAGCTCA